ATTTAATTTAATTGCATGTAGAAAGCTGAATATTTACATACATCTAAGTGGCCATGTGCAAATACAGTCTGCATTTGCAGGCTTGGTGTTTGCCTTGCATAATTTAAGGTGCAATGGTGAATATCCATCTTTCAAACTTATGTCAGTTGGATGCTTATGTTATCTTGACTTACTAGTGATGGTCCAGATATCTTGGTGATGGCCACACTAGATATGCTTAGATAAGACTGTCACTGTTGTGCCACTTGATCAGAGAACAGGAATCATTAAAGGGCAGAACACACACACAAAGGCTGGACATTAATTTAACGTTTAATGTATTTCTGTATGGTGTGTTTTCAGGTGGGAGGGGCAGGAGTTGGTGTGGTTGCAACCTGCAAAGGTGCTGAGATTGCACTGGCAATGGCAACGTTCCTACCACAGATGGAGATATACCTATCTCATAGAACTGGAAGGGACCCTGAAAGGTCATCAAGTCCAGTCCCCTGCCTCCACTAGCAGGACCAAGTACTGATTTTGCCCCAGATCCCTAAGTGGCCCCCGCAAGGATTGAACTCACAACCCTGGGTTTAGCAGGCCAATGGTCAAACCACTGAGCTATCCCTCCCCCCCTAAAGCCACAGTTTGCATTAACGGGACCAATGCCATCCACGGGACTGCGCTGCGTTACCGTGATCTCCACATCAGTCCAATACCTTCCAAATTTGAGTGTGTGCGGCTCACACCCCTGGGGCTGCTCTCTTTCTTCAGTGTCATTGGGGACACTCGAGCAGAGGCAAATCAAGATAGCATCATCCCTGTTGAAAAGGCCCAGGGTCAGCTCCTCTTGGTCGTGGGAGAAAGTGACCAGAACCACAACAGCAAAGCATATGCTGAGGAAGTGATGGAGAGGATGAGGAGACATGGGAGAAAGAACTGCACTCTGCTGTCTTATCCAGGCGCCGGCCACCTGATAGAGCCCCCGGGGTCCCCGTTCTGCCCCTGCTCATGGAACCCCTTTTTCGTCTTGCCCTTGATGTGGGGAGGCGAAGCCCAACCCCATGCCGCCGCACAGGAACATTCTTGGAGAGAGATCCAAAAATTCCTTTGGCACCACCTGTGCCCAAAAGGAAGCAGCAAACTCTGAAAACAGGGAGGCCTGGACCGAAAAGTTTCTGTGCCCCATGCCCTCCTGAACCCGATCAAGAAATATTGGAACGATCTGTGAATTCTGGGTATCAACTGAAAGAGAAATACACCCCTTTGGGGACGAGGGTGCATTTCCAACCACTACAACGTGGACATCTTCTCTTGTAGGCCTGCAGCCAATAGCAGGTGGGAAACACAAATGCACGAACAAGTCTGCCTTCTACAAGATCGAATCATTCACGTGCCTGGGGCCTGATCCAGCTCTCACTGAAATCTATGGGAATTGGATCAGGCCCCATGGATGGGAGTCTGGTGGTGGCTTCTGTCTGCAGAGTTCTATGCAAAATTTTCCAG